TGCCAGTGTAAGGTTTTTCACTCTCTTCACTGTCTTGTTTTTGCTACTATAGCGGGGCGGTTTTGGCAGAGTGGTTAGGGGAATAGTCCTGGAACCGGAAGGTTGCCGGTTTGATCCCCCCCGTCCAGCTGTCTCAGTTGTTGTGTCCTTGGGCATGACACTTCACCCCAATGCCTCTGATGTGTGTCCCGTCAGTGTATGAATGTGATTGGCACTGATTAGTCTCCAAAGATTATTGTTCACGTTAGCTTTGTAGAGACCTAATAGAGTGCTGTGAAAATGGGTAAATGAGGACACAGATTGTAGTGTGAAGAGCATTGAGTGTCCTTGATGGATAGAAAAGTACTATATAAGTACAGTCCATTTACTATCTACTTTTGTTGTCCTACTTTCAGCAGAAGTCAGCTGTTCAAATTTAACTCACATGAACAGTTTTGCTGTTAAACATTTTCGTCTTTTCCAACAGCGTTCAGGAAAAATCTTTCAGCATTAAGCAATCACCCTGCATTTTTGCAGGAAATGCAAATGCTCTAGTTGGTTTTGTCATCATTAGTTATTACCCTGGTACATTTGTTTACCAACTTTCAGAAACATTTTCTCACCACCATGGCATGAATGACTCATAGAAGGAAAACCAGTGAAGCAGAACCCTCAAAACCCTGCAGACGCCCAACTTTTACCCTCCTACTCATTTATGCTTCCGCCAGGTATTATATCATAACATAAGCACAGAGTTATCTCAGAGCACGAGATCAAACAAATAAAATCATCTCAGATGTTAAGTTTCTGAGACCTTCCATGCATATGTGATGTCCCGCTGAGCTCCCCGATGACTGGTGAGAGGATCCCTGGGTGTGTGGCAGAACAGAGCCACCGGTGTCGGCGTTCACTGTTTTCCACCGTCTCTCATCTGGGAAGGCATCCGACAGTGCCACAGTTGAATACCCAGGGGCATGTGTGTGCCCAAAATTCCCTTGAGTGCAATTATTGCACTGCAGTGGCACAGAGAAATCCTGTCTGGTGTTCATGTGGTTTTCTTGTCAGATCCACAGCTTCCTTTCTGTGTCCATCCTTACTCAGGGGTGAYGCATTCAGGAGCGGACCTTAGAGATGAAAGGTCACGAGGTAGTTAACAGATGTCAGTTTTTTTTTCTGTGTAACGGCTGTTTTAATATGGGAAAAGTTGCAGAATTAGCTCGGAGGTGCAGGGTTTTTGACAAACCTGCAAAACCACAACGAGCTTTGCAGCTAACCTCGTTCTCTTACTCGTTTAGTCGTGCATTTTCACACGGGCTGTCTGGGTGACTGATGCTTGTAATTTGGTTATTTCTTAGTCAAGAGGAACCTTCTGGGACCAAAAAATTAAAATATAACCCGTGAGATAAAGATCTTTCTGCATTGCTTAGAACATATGTCCCACTTCCCTGTCTTGTCACCCACAAACTGCCTTGATAGTTTGTCTCACTCTGGCACAAAAATAAAATAAAAAAAATCAGAATWGGCCTGCTCAAGCTGGCGGGTATTCTTTGTGGTATCTGAGTTGTCAGTCAAACATGCCAACGTTGGTTTTTGTGGTCATATTTGTCCATTGCATGCTTTGTTAGAGACAACAACAAAAGAGTTGTTCTGCAGTAGCAGTTGATGAGGTGTGTCTTGACTCTRCAGCAGATTTCACAGGACTTTATAAGGTCATCTTTACAAAAAGGTGGATTCCACCAAAAAATGACCCAAAATGCCTGAGTGCTAAACTCATGTTAAGGGACAGCAGGCACTTCAGGGGTCATGGGAACATGGGCGCTATATCCGCTCAGGCAACATCAACAGGGCAAACAGCTAAATATAGAAAGGTTCAATACAAGTCCAGGGTTGAGGGGGAAAACCAGTGAAAACCCTTAAAGGCTTTTAAATAAGTACTTTATACTTAGATCAGAGAAAACAAATCTCAATGTAAAACAATAAATTTACAAAAAGGGGCAAATTTACATTTAAGTTTCTTTTCAGCTGTTTCCTGTAAAATAACAGCTGATTTCTCTGTAACGTTGAGGTTTGTGTAAAAATGAAAAAGAGCAAGATTCTTGAGAATTTAGTGAAAACAGGAGCTTTAAGAGCTGCACCAACAGACTCAAAAACAGTTTTTTGCCATCTGGACCCTGAACTGCAGTCAAACACCACATAACTACTTTATTATTGGTTTTGCCACGGGGCTTTTAGGACTCATGTCCCTTGTTCATAAAATTTACTTTTCATGTGTAAATAGGTTTTATTTAAAGAAGACATACAGTATATCATGCAAAATACCCATTTGTAGTCGTTAAATCCAGTTTGTTGTGTATTTGAATTTAGTTTCTCCTGGTGTTGCATAGAGTACCTTTACGTGTTTGGGTTCAGTTTCTCTGTGATGCTTTCTGAACTGTCCCATCACAGTATTTGCATCAGAACTTCTAAATAAGGTYTGGACTCACCAGCTGCTGGTCTTATTTCTCCTCTGGCTCTGGGTCAGACTCTGGCTCCAACAAGTAARGCTGGATGGACAATTAATTTGTAAATAAAAAGTTTCTGAGTCGCTATATAGTCATAAACCCCTTTATTAAACTAGAATGAACCGCTCTGAGGGGGCGGGGTGTGAAGCACCTTGTTTGGATTTAAAGAGACAGTCTCAAAACGAGTTGATCAGAGACAAACCTCAGAAACRTGGGAGAAAGAGGGGCTTGTGGAGTTACAGTAAGGAGGAATTCAGACCAAAGCATTGCAGTTTTACTTTAAATACACTCAAAAAACAGATGTGTTGAATTTACTTAACCAAGTTCCAGTATRTCAACAATTTCCTAACTGTGTTGAGTAAAAGTAACGAATGAATGRTTTAAATGGGAAAAAGAAGGATTTAAAAGCAAATGTCTTGTTCAAAATCTCGCCAACCTCGTTATGTTGCTGTTGTTCTTGTCTTTTATAACCTTTTCAGTTGGCACGTTCAGTTTCTTTGTACAAGCTTGTGCACTGGAAATAAAGACTATTCTATTCTATTCTATTCTATTCTATTCTATTCTATTCTATTCTATTCTATTCTATTCTATTCTATTAAAAACGGTCCACAATCCATCCACGTTGTTGTCCTCTCCCTTTCAAAGACCCACTTTCAGACCTATGAGAGTGGAGTGGGTGGCTCTTGTGTTCAAATAAACACATTGTTTAGTTTTTTTTTTTTTCCACTTTTAGTTTTATCTCTGGCTGCCTAGCCTCTAAAAGAAGCTGTAGACAGTATTTTTAACCCCCACATCTCTTGGGGCCTACACGGTGAACTCGAGCACGGTGCTATGTGGCCCCTGGGGGTGGGGGGGGGGGGGGGTTAACCTAACATGGGCGTTTCGATCTGTGTGGACCGATGGCTACGCATGGCAGAAAAGTTGCTCCAATGTCAGGCCGCACTGCCTGACGGTGGTAAAAATAAACCCTCTCGCCTTCACCCACAGGAAGCAGACCTGAGTCACTTTAACCAGACGGAGGACATGTTCCCCCCTCACAATTATACCGTGAGCCTTACTGAGCTGGTCTTTGAGTTGTAAACTGTGGATTCTCCAATTCTGTGCCTTTTTTTTTTTCTGCACTTTTCAAAAGGGTCAGTTCCACCACAAACCATATCTCTGCTATCGATGTGATAATTACATGACGTTCAGCAACATAATATGAAAGTCAAGACTGAACAAAGATGAGAATTTACAAATTTACAAACAAGAACGTGGTTTACAGTAATAACAGTGTTTTTTTTACAAGTCATCTGAAATTTAAAATTACAACATGGTAAAGTCTGAAGAACATTTTCTTTTGTTTAAACCTGTAATCCAGAACAAGAAAAGATATTTGATGTCAATAAAATATAATGTCAAACAAGAAGCAGTTTAATAGATGAAAATCAGACTTGAATTATTATTATTGATATCATCTCTTATTATTGTTTATGTGACTGAACATCGTATTATTGTCTTAAGATGAAACTTAAAGGGATTCTACTTTGTGAAATGCATTTTATTTTTTCATTTGTTTGTTTAGTTTTCATTATATGTATATTCTTATTGAATAGTTGTTGGATTCAGTATTTTCTAGAATACTTTTCTTGATGAAAAAGGTTGCAGGAGAAAGGGGTGGGCTAATGTTAAACTTCTGCCCACTCCTTTAAGAATACGATCATTGTGTATCAGTAATGTTTCTGTTACCTTCTGTTGATGCATTCAGTAAAACTTAGGGGGAAAAAAAGAATGAATAACCAAATAAAATGTTTTTTTTTACAGGTTTCTGAGTAAAACAGAGAAATATGGGACGAAAGAAAATACAAATATCTCGTATTCTTGACCAGAGGAACAGACAGGTTGGTCTACACAAACATTTCTGTTGAAATACACCTCCAAATACTCATGTAGCTTTATATCACTATTGTACTAAAACTATATTTTGTTTGTAAATGATAAGATAATGATCTTTGATCGTTTTCAGCTTTTTGTTTGTTTGAGGTTGATGTTGCACATCACAGGAACAGGAGATGTGATCAACATGTTTCATAGTTTTCCTAAAGATTCGAGTGTTTATTTGTATCAAGGTCAGTGTGTAACCCAGTCGACTTAAATGTCAGCATTCAAGACACAATTGCTTTTCATAATTCACTGCTATAACTCGATCACACTCCCAAACATAACTTTAACTGAGTCTTTGCTGCGAGTCAGCAGGAAGCTGTGTGAGTTGAGCTGTTTTCAGCAGAACAGAGATGAGCGAGCGAACAGCCTGGTGTCTGCAGAGGCAAAGTTTAAAGGCTGAATCAGAAGTATTTTAGTTGAAGAGGTTTTCTTCAGTTTAATGGAAGAAAACCTGATACTTTTTGAATGTATGAAGCTTAATCATGACAAGTCACAACACACTCATTAGTGGGTTTTTTTTTAGACGCCGCAACCAGCCTGTAGAGTGTTGAGTTCATGTTATATTAATACACCAAGATGGCAGCAGGTTGATAAATGATGACTTTAACTGTGAGGGAAAGAAGAGCCTAAAAACACAATTTATTATTCATATCTGATTCGAAACAGTGTTTTTTTTTTTAAATTTAGATAAGGTTGTTTTAGTTAAGACAGGTTCTTCTGTGTGCTGTTTRGAAAACTTTCTCTGACAAAGGAATTTTTAGTGTGAAATATACTTGTGATTATTGGATTTGCTCGTGAGCTTTCAGTTTGAATTTAAAAGATTATCTGCTTTTAAAAAATAAATGAATGATTTTGGACTTCACAGAGTTTTACATACAGTGGAGAATTAACATTTTTCTAATGATGTGATTTCTTTTAATTAATTCCATGCTATTTATTTATTTATTTATGTATGCATGTATGTATGTATGTATGTATGTATGTATGTATGTATGTATG